CACACACACACACACACACACACACACACACACACACACACACACACACGTGTCTGAGAGCGGATTTCGAAACTTTGTTCGGCTAGCAAACTACGAACTGGTCTGTATCAGCGTACACTGGCCACAATCAAACGCGCACACAACCTTGCGAAGACGGGTAAGGGGACATAAAATAGCTGTGGGTGCTGTTAGCGCTAAGGGCCCACTTACTGCGTAATGGAAGACGCTTCATTACAACTATAGAACAGAAGTCATTGAACAGAAAAGGGAAAGTAATAGAAGGCATGATTTCAATGCTACCAACGCGTCGCAATGTGTAATGCCTTGTTATCACTCAGGGTAACGGGTTAGTCAGTCGTAGTTTTGAGCAAATTTGACATTTGTCTGGCTTGTGTTCTGAGTGGGGGATGAGATATAGGCTTCACCCTGGCTTCCTCGAAGCAAACTCAGTCTAAAGTACTGAATACAATGATTGTGATATACAGTAGAAAATTAGAGTTAAAATGGTATTCGCAGTGTGGGAGAATGCATAAAAAACCACCGGTCTTCTTTTATTGACCATTATTGAATTACAAAACCACTTAAGGATAACCCTTTGAACTTCGACCGACCACGGTTCCAAATGGCATTTTTTTGGTACATTCCGTTGAATAACGACAAAATGCGGACAGAGCAACAAGTCGTACGTTCGGTTTCGATTAGCTATGTGACTTTTAAAAGCAACTCCGCATGAAATTCAGTTCCATTGAACGATGAAATTCAAGTCGACTTGTCTACATTTTAGTGTGAGAAAAATGTACCCTATGGATGAATTTTATCAATCCCAGGAAATCTGGGTATTAATGGACATTCATCTTGTTGAATCAGGGTGATAAACAACAAACAAATAAAACAAAAGCTGTGAAAACAGTTTTCGTTGTGTTGTCCATGAAAATTTATAGGAAATAGAGGTGGTATATTGTGTTCGTGGTTGTGTGTGTCTTGCTCCATGACAGTTTATTGTTTTTCCACGCGGTTGAGGTTTTTAAAATCCAGCACGGAGACTTTCGGTCCGAATTTAGATGGGACCACAGACATAATAAGCCTGCTTCAATGTCAAACCCGTTAGCAGCCAGTACTGTAATTGAAAACAGCACACGCTTATGGAGCCGAACTTGATTCCTCAGCTTTTAAGTCAACTTCACGAGCTTTGCTCAAAACTGTGCTCTGTCTATCTGCACCCGGTGCTTTTGGCTCGCAAGTTAATGAGACAAAACTGAAATCGGCTCGTTCTGTAGTGCCTGAACTTCGTGTTCTTTCGGCTCGCAATAATCGATGAAAGGGTTTTTCGAATGTCATATTGCTTACTCCCGACGAGCCTCAACATGGACTTAACAGGTGTCCACTGTGGATCATCATAAAGTAAGTAAGCGAGTTCACGATAAAACTGTTGATTAGAGAGACCGGTCCTGCTTTTGAATTAAATTCGGATTGATTCTTGTTGAAATTCCAGGTCAGATGTTTTGTAGTAGTGAAGTTTTTAAGACCCTTCCAAAGGGTTGTGTGACCATTATGAATGTCACTTTTAACTCGGTTAAACTGATTTGGCTCCTCGTAGAGAAGGGTTGCTAGATTTCATCAGAGAGCTTTGTACCACCCCTCTGGTTTCTTTTGAGGGCGTATCCATAGGCTTTGCACAACCAAGTGAGGATGATGCACGATTATCAATGTCTCTGAACAAGCTCATTCAATATTTGATAGATTTAGCTACAATTCAGAGGATCACGCATTCCTATTAGCCAAAAAGATGTTTTGTAGCATCTTAATAAAACCGTTTCATCGAAATTATTACGTCTCGATAACTCTCCATCTGTTTTGATCCGCCTGCCGAGCAGTTTGCTGGGAAGTGGCTGCTGATGCATATATATATATATATATATATATATATATATCATAGGATCTAGAAACCACAGGTAAGAGTTTATTGGTTGATCGATATCACAGAGGTGGATATATCCTCAATGGACTTGACTGTTCACCGACCCAGAAGTGGTACTCTCATAGGATACCTACCACAGCTTAGATAGACCCGCGNGCGTTGATCTAACCCCCCCCTCCCCTTACCTCTGCTCCGATATGAATTCGTATGTGTTTCTATTTAATGGCTGAGCTCAGAAGTGGTTCTGTTATTGATGAAATTATGAAAGCCGAGTCCAATCCCCGAACTCTTTCCAAATATCAACTCCTTCTTGTGCGTACTTTTACGTATAGAAGTAGTGTAATCCCATACATTGCCCGGCTATTAATTAATCTTAGGATAATCACCCACCTCAGGAAAAGCCACTTGCATTATTTTTTTCTCATTTACTACACTATCCAATTTGTTTCCTATCACTTTTTTGCCGTTGATGGCAAGTTGTTCATATATATATATATATATATATATATATATATGTATATATATATATGTATATATATATATTGTAAAACTTCAAAAATTGCTGAAAACCCGCATAAAGCGTTCCTTGATTTGACCTGACTTGAAAATTCCGAACTGCTAAAACAGGCTTATAATTTTTGAATAACATACTAAACTGCATCGTGTATAGAGCAAGGTAAACATGAACTGAAACGATATGAAGCATCGTACAGTTACTTCAATATTGTTGAGTATCTCAGCAGTGTGAGTCCATCCAGTATGCATCGAATTCTGGGGACCCCGCAGGTAGAATGCAAGCATAAACACTAGATGAGCACCGCATATCTGATCAGACTGTTCCTCTTTGTCTACACTTGATATAGCACAACCCATCTTTACACGCTTATTATGGGCGATTCACCTCAACCATACGAGCATTAGACTATTGGGTTATGTCTTAGTCGTAAATTTTCCGAATCTGATTTCTTGTTGCAAATGAGTAGTGAACAGTCCGATTCGAATTAGGTCAACTGGCTGCCAAGCATTGTTGCATTTATGGCATACATTTTTTTAAACTGGATTGCGCTTAGTATAAGTCACACAACTGCGTAACCCCTTACGCAGTCATAACGACGTGCTGTGGATCTGTTGTGGTCTGCTTAAACATATGCGGACGAATGTCGATCAATATTCGGGTGGAACGGGCCGGAACGAAATTGCCACCATGCCCGATCGCATCTAATCATCATCATCCTCATTGTCACCATCATCGTCATCATCATCAACAACAACAACAACAACCTCGTCATTTTGTGAAACGACATCAAGACCAACATCACCATCACCACTCCTTTACTAGTGATTCATGAGGACGGGTGAATGAGCTCANGCTCACTCTCGCCCCCTGCCCCCCCCCCGCACCACCCTGCTTTTGTCAGTGTGCTTGTGCACTCGTTCATGCTGTCCCGTCTGCGATGCTCACAGTCAGTCACACGCTCGTGCAGTCCCGATGAGCAGTCATGATGAAGTACATCCGGGCAGGTCAAAGACAAGCACTGTGAGCTCCGCAAGGCATCAACTCAGGCACGAGTAGAATGAACCAAATCGGGTCGTATGTGTGCGTAGAGGAGAATCGTTTGAATTGAAATAGTTTGGTGCGACCCATTCGGAGTTATTGATCGATTTCAATTTCCGAATGTGGACAACCAGCACAACCAACCACAATGTGTAACTTAATGCATGAAAATGAATGAATGATTGCAAAACAAGCTGGTAGTTATGATATAACGGAAAACCTCGGAAGGGGCAGATAAGCTAGTTGGATTTCCAGAGGAAACCCAGGTGGAAAAAACTGAATGAAGTTTAATAAGTCATATTGGATTTGTACGGTGAATGAATGAATAAAACATCATTTCCTAAACCCATTTGTTCTGCGCTGATCCGATCCCATTTAAAGAAAACACTCCTTGCTTTCCTTTACAGTTGAAGCATCTCGTCTTCGTTTTAGAGAATTGAGAGGCTCCAATTTTTCGCATTTCGCAAAAACTCAGACCTGACGCGCTCAACTAAAAATCACATGCATAACTTCCCAAACATGAGCAAGAAAAGTGGTAAATGATCATAAATACTGAGGATAGGCAATGTATATTTAAGATTTACGGTAACCAGTCGTCAGTTTGTGAAGAACGATCAGGCAATTGTCTCAAAGAATCAAGAAGCACAAACCGGCGTGACTGAGTACGGGTATAAGGAAAACAATTACAAGTGCGGTGGTAGAACACCTTGCAGACACGGGGCATCAAGCAAACGACGACGCCTTCAAGGTGATCTACGAAGTACCAGCAAACACCCATCAAAAGCTGTTCTTCAACGACACCTTTCTACAGCCGAGGCGGTGGCTATTCG